GAAAGAATGGAAATTTTCTTTGCAGCACTGAACTAATAGAAAGGTTTCAGCTTCTATCAGAACAAAGTGGGTTTTGCCTAAAAGTGGTGTGCCAGAAGGTTACCAAAAAGGAATAGTGGTTAAGTGAAGAAGAATTGAAGAGCTATATTCTTTCCTGTTTGAGAATGGTTGTGTCTATGCTGCTGAACTGCACCACAGTCTTACAAATCTAACTCCAGTTGAGGGATAAACTATTACTTTTTTACAGTGTTGCTGTCTTATGAAGGACTGCACTCATTTGATTTAATTTAGTTTAGAAACTGCTCTACTGCCTGCAGTGGCGACCTTTGAGACCTGTAGCTATTTTGAAATCTGTGTGTGATAGGCAGCAGTTGTTGGGTATCATTTACAAATACCAATAGTGCCTGCAGCTCACACTTCATCGAAGTGAAATACTTGGTATGTCCAAATTCCAGCTTTTTTGTTGGGGGAGATTACTGCTTTTTTGGAGGGGGAGAGAAGTGGGGCAAAGCATACTTACCTGAAAAAGATTGTTTACTGGGAAGGGTACTTTAATCTGTCTTTTGGCATGCCTTGCTTTATATGCTGACTCTTTTTATCCAGGCTGAATTTCTGTGGAAGGACCGAAGGCAGTATTATATTGCATGAAGTTGCTTATTAATCCTCAGTGGACACAATTCTTCAGAACGGTTCCACGTCTCACATGGTAGCTTAGGCTGAATATGCAGAATAAAGCCTTTGGGTACCAACAATTACTCATGATATCCTGTTTGCTTTCAGTGTGCAGTATATGCTATGTATTTTATTCATACACATCCAAGAGTTTAAAGAAAACCCACTCCAAACCCAAACAGCCTCCTTTCTATCTGTATTATCTGGTCTAGTGGAAGGTGTTCCTGCCCATGGCAGGGGGTTTGGAACTAGGTGATATTTAAGGTTCCTTCCAACCCGAACCATTCTGTGGTTGTATTATAAGGACCAGTGAATTGTAGTTACATGTTATAAAGTGTAGAGGCATTGTTTTATGACTTTAGTAATCTTGTGGTGCTTCTCTTTTTTTCTTTTACAAAAGGAAAAACAAGAATGGTGGTGGCTATATATTGCAGATCGGAAGGAGCAGATGCTAATATGTATGCCATATCATGTTTGTACACTAAAAGATAAAGAAGAGGTAAAGTACTTGAATTTTCTTTTGGGGTACTAGAAAACTGTACTGAAACATGTTATGGTATGCAAATACATTTAGCTTTTAATTTTTTCATACTTATCTCAAGATGGAAAAAAAAATTACTCCCCTGATTACAGTAGAGGAGAGCCTTTCTGACTGAAAATTGATAATGGAGAAAGAAAAAATAATTTAAGATGACTTTCAAGTTTCTTTGCAGAATATTTTTCCCCCTGATGCCAAAGCTGATGAAAACCAGTATTCATACACAGTGATCATTCTTAAAGAAAGTTATTCAAATGTGTTAGAAATACTGAGTGTTCTTTTTCTGTAAAGCAGAAGCTGTGACAAATTAATTAGCCTCAGCTCATGTGAACCTTTCTGAGACGAATCTTTGGCTGTGTTCTTTTCATTCTGAAAAATGGAAATTTGATGTATTTTGTTCTTTCGAACTAGATTTTATGTTCGATTTCAAATAACAGTAGAGTTAAACTCATACATTCAGCAGACTAAGTATTTTAACCTGTTTGGGTTTTTGAGGTTTAGGAAGCACACAACAGGGTGAAATGGTGTACTTAATGTAGAGTTACTTGGTCTAATACAGAAAAAAAATGTGACTAGTTATTCAGCTTTAATGGAAGGTGTTGTGCTTGGGCATTCTGTCTCTTTTCTGTGGGTATTTTGTTATGTAGAGATTTTCACAGAAGTGTTGCTTGTAAGAAACTAAAACTTTTAAAGAAAAGTGTACTATTCTGTAGTAGCATTTATTGCTCATCAGCATACTGAGGTACTTGTTCTAATGTGCCACTTGAAAGCAGTAAGAACTTACAGCGTGAATTCTGTTTTGTAGGTAGAGCTGAAGTTCCCAGCACCAGGCAAACCCGGAAACTATCAGTACACAGTTTATTTAAGATCGGACTCATATATGGGATTGGACCAGATTAAACCATTGAAGGTGGTGTTTAATTGTGTAATATATTTGTATTATATTGAAAGTTACTTCATATGGCTATTAAAACCTCAAAAGTCCTGTTATCTTTAAGCATATAAGCTGTCCTAATTTTAAAACAGTGGCAAGGAGGGACTTATAAGCAGTTTCTGCCTGATGCCAGTAGTGGCAATTTTATGATGGATTAAATGGGACTAATGTTCATGATGCTTTCCAGTGCCTGCATATTTTAATACATATTTTTTCCACATTTATTCAATATCTGCAGTATGGTTGGCTCTGGCTTTATATCTTGAGGTCTGCCATGCCATTTCCCTGCCCTTAGTCCTAGATACATACAGTTAATGAGCAAGATCTGACATGCCTTATTTCTGGAAGCAGTTGTTGGGTTTGTTTTAGGGTTGGTGTTGTTTTTTTGTTTGTTTGAGGTGTGTTCTTTTTTTTTAAACTGTCAATTTCGTGTGGGGTGTCATTTGTTCTGTGACCCTCTTTGTGTGTAACCCTCTTTTCCAGTCTTTTCTTTCTTTTTCTTTATCCAATTACAGCTGGAAGTTCATGAGGCAAAACCAGTGCCAGAAAATCATCCACAATGGGATACAGCAATAGAAGGTGATGAGGACCAGGAAGACAGCGAGGGCTTTGAAGACAGTTTTGAGGAGGAAGAGGAAGAGGAGGATGATGATGACTAAACAATACTGTTGATTGACTACAATGTCTGCACACACTGCAAAGTCTTGGTCTGACTGTGGAACTGTACAATAACCAAGAAACACAGTACAGAAGCTTTGAGAAGGCTGAGTTTAATTTTTCTTTACCAATTAAGAGTGCATTATGTAACTTCTCAGTGGAGGTGAAACAAATCTGTTGCCATTGATACATCTTGGAATATGCTTATGGCTCATTATAGCCTTCCAGTGCAGGATGGTGCATTTGTTTCAATACAAAATAAAAGCTTTTTTATTATAAATGTCCGAAAGTGTGGGCTATGTATTGTCTGATCAGTTTAGGGTCCAATTTAAATAAAAGGTACTATTAGCTAGGAGCAAACTTTAAATCAATTTTTCTGCATTAGGAATTTATTTTAGGAAACGTTTTGGTATATTTGACATTACAGATCTCTGTTGATTGAAACAACATCTGCTCAACTTTGAAACTTGATTGGTTCTGTGGTATTCATTAAATATTTTGCTGTGATACTGCTCACATCATTCATAGCTTTAAAAATCTGTTTTACATAACTTAATCATTATAAATTGGCATCATACCCATTGCCACATTCCATATATTCTGGAGGGCTGCTTTTTTAGGACTATTGCCTTTTTATGCCCAGGATTATAATGGAAATCATCAGCTTTCTTGACTCTGCCATAGGATACTTATTAATGGCTTAAAACATTTTTAAGCCTTTATTTCATCAGATCAGCAGAAGATCTGAGTCTTTTGATAAACAGAATGTCTGAAAGCAATTTTGGGACCACGTATTATGTAAGTTGGTGGCTTTTATGTAATACCTTTATAAAAGGTATGCTGAAAGCTGAAGTATATTCTTAACTTTGAATCTACACTGTCGGAAACATTTTAAGGGTAAAATACAACATGCAAAGAGGGCATGTTTTGTATCACTTTTGAATTCCCATCAATAAACTGGACAATTTGATGGCTGTTTGCATTTGTAATAGTGTGCATCTCTTTGTCTGAGTTTTTTTTTACCTCAGTCTCCTGCAGGGCTGAAAACAAGACAGTGGTTCTATCCCTATTCCTGTATTAAAAAAGCAAACAAGTCTAATTAGAGAATAAATTCAGGGAGGAGAGAATCAGAGTTGTTAGTGTATTGTATGACTTCACAAAAGCCATGGGTCTTCCTTTTCTTCTCAATAAAACAAATGAAAGTGCTTAATTCAAAGTTGTATTTCTGTATTTCAGAAATACATGTGAGTATTCTGCCGGTAGGAGCGGATTTATTTCTGTTCCTATGTATCGAACTATGAAAATGCAATGCTGTAAAACGTGAGAAATGGTCATGGAGGAAAATTTCCATCCTAGGAAAATTGCCCAAAGCCAGAATAGTTGCACACTAATTTGTGACCTTGTTTATTAGAAAGGGTTGTCACTTCAAATGCAAAGTTACATTGTTATATTCTTTGTAATTGCAATAGTTGCAAATAAAATTTGAAGAATGTTCTAAATGAGATTATGGTATCTTTCAAAGTACTTCTGAAGTGTACATCGTGCAGGAAGAATTCTTGTAAAGCATAAGCAGTGTCAGGTGTTCAAACTCAAGGATGAAGACTAGGTTTAAATTAAATGGCTTGTACACTCGATGCCTTTTAACGCCAGTTTTTATTTGCAAAATACAGTAGAGAAATAACAATAAAAACCCACTTGTTGCATTCCCTAGGCTTTCAAGCCAAACACTGCACTGATGAGAGAGATGCCTGAGGAAGAGTCACCAGCCTCCTTATTGCCAAGTAGACAAAATGAATGCTAAAATTGCATCATTCTGCCAGAACAATTTATAGTGAACTTCTGCAGTTGTTAAAAGTTTGAAAATTATTATAGTTGGGAGAAACAACTGATAATAAGAGCATGGGCTGGCAGGGGGAAGTGCTCTGACTACTGATCCCTCAATCATAGAATCATTACGTTGGAATAGACCTCTGAGATCATCAAGTCCAACTGTTGACCTAACACCACCATACCCACTAAACCATGTCCTGAAGTGCCACATCTACGTGTTTTTTGAACGCCTTCAGGGATGGTGACTCCACCACCTCCATGGGCAGCCTGTTCCAATGTTTGACCACTCTTGCAGTAAAGAAATTTTTCCTAATCTCTAATCTAAACCTCCCCAGGCACAACTTGAGGCCGTTTCCTCTTGTCCTATCGCTTGTTACTTGGGAGAAGAGACCAACCCCCACCTCACTACAGCCTCCTTTCAGGTAGTTATAGAGAGCGATAAGGTCTCCCCTCAGCCTCCTCCAGACTAAACAACCTCTATTCCCTCAACTGCTCCTCATAAAACCTGTTCTCCAAATCCTTCACCAATGTTACTATTGTTATTATTAACTAAATGTTACTGTTAAAAGTCATGGTATATACTTGCAAGATGTGAATGCATTGAAGTGATTTTTAAAAAAACGTAGAAGAATCGTGTCCCTGATCCAAACACTGAAGTATTTTCTTGAAGATCAAAGCTGACAGCTGGGATTACACTGAAAGTCTGCAAACCAAGGATAATTCTATCAAGCTAACAAAGGCTAAATCTAATACTTCTTCAAATGTGCATCTCCTGTATAGTCAAGGTACCTTAATAGCAGATGTGAGGAAAAGAATTGTGGTATCGGAAATCTTCATAATCTGAAGAAGACATGCAGATGCTTTCTCTCCTAAAAACATCAGCTCTATAGTTGTGCATCTCCTTCTGACACAGATGCAAAAGTGGGGCCGAGGAGGTATTTAAGAGCTTCATGCAATTAAAAACACCTGCTGCAGACAGGCAACTCTTCCGAGTGTTACTACGCTATTGAATTGTTAGTTGGTCTGTTGTGTGGTGTGTCCACTGATAACCATATTTTTAATAACAATTTGAATTGTCATTCAAAGATTGACTAACTCTCTCTTGAATAACAGTAACTAGATGGATAAAACTTCATAGGAAGAAGCAGCACTTTACACTCACTGTTGTATATGCCTTGATTTTTGATAGGGTTTAGGAATGAATTCAACCAATTTCACATCTAACACTCTGAAACTCTGAGCTAGTAACCGGAGAGTGAAAAAGTCCTAGAAATCAAATCTGCTTCGCTGCTACACCCCGTGTGCGCTGGTGGCCCAAGCATAATTTGGAAGCATCTAGTATTGTTTCAGTGGGAGTAGATTTGTTTCTGCCCGTCTTCTGTCACGCTCCTTTTTGTAGCCTGTTCTTCTAGGTCACAGTAGGTGCGCGCACAGCCGGACTGTCCACCCAAGCAGAGAAGCTGCAAATACCTTCAGGGCTTGCAGAAGCCACTTCTAAGGGAAAAAAAATTGGACTTGGCTGGAACAGGCAGGAGGGTGATGCAGCGCAACTGGCCCTGCTCCTTCTGGCCCAGCTTCTGTATGGGTACAGGGTGCTGTAACTCACAATTAGTAGAGAGAAGCACCAGGAACTGGATTCAGGGCAGACACTGCTTGCTGAAACACAGGATAAATTCGAAGTAGATATGTATAGGTAAAAGGAACAAGTTATAAAAAAGGTTTGTTTTTTTTAATTTGTGTAAAATTATTCAACTTTCTGTGCTGCCCCCCTCCCCGCCCAAATGTTGAAAGTGGTTGATTAATATTAAAGGAAACTTCACTTCTTTTCTAGTCTGTTGCTGGGTAACTAGAAAGTTACACTTGTGCAAAAAAACTGATAAACCCTCTCTAAACCCCGAATGTCTTGTGAGTGGGAAAACCCTTACGCTATAGAGGAAAAGGTGCTTTTTCAGATGCCCGGGTGCAGTTCCAGGCTGCGCTCCAGCAGAGGGAGGCCGGGGCATGGATTTCTGCAGGAAACCCTGCGATTCTTCCAGGGGCTAACTCGCTTATTTTGAGCTGTAGGTTTGGTTTTGTTTTCCCCCTTTCTGGATGAGGAAGGCAGAGATGGATGTTTCTTTTATCTATTTATTTTCTTTTACACAAACTCTACTGTTAGACGTGCATTTTTCCTATTTTTATATCTCTTTATCCACGTGAGTTTTCCCCCCTAACTCTGCTGAGTCTTCGTTTAAAAACTGCTGAAGGAAACCCATTTTAGTATTGGAATTATTTAAATTATTATTATTATGTAATTATTTAAAGATAAAAACCAGGTAGAGAAAGAAAGGCAGAGCCTCTTTTTGTAGCAGGAATTGGGCTGTTAATTTTGAGCCTTAAATATTGCTTTGCATTAGTTTTCAGAAAAGTACTTGAGTAAGGTGGGTATCATGAAGGTATTTCTAATTCAGCTGTATTTTAAGCTCTGCAAAGTCAGATACATTAGGCGGTTCTACCGTGAGGATCCCCGTACCTCGAAGAGCTAATTTACGGGGTACCTGGGGTGCCTCGCAGGCATCCGCAGCGTGCCGTGCTTACCCGAGTTTTACATTCTGTGCAGAGACACATTTAAAAACACCCCTGGCAGTATTGTCTTTAAAATCTGCGCAGGGCTACGGCACTGTCTTTTCTTAGGGTTTGTCAAAGACTTGGCAGAGCACTCAAGTGCTGGATTAGAGGTTGAGCGTGTGCTTAAACTCATTTCTATCCAGTAAGGTAAGCAGGTGCTTTGTTGGCTGTGCTATGTTGGGACCTTAGCAAGTCGGGGAACAAACAGAAGAGAGAACTTTGGTTGACATGTTCAGTATTAAACTCTAAATGGGATACCAAATTTGTACACAGCATACATCTGGGTGATGTTCATGGCTTGCACTTCATTTCTTTTATGTCAATGTTTTGTTTTAGGATTCAGATTGAGCCCACACAGACACTGTTTAGTTCAGACACTATTTAGTTCATTGAAATAATTTTCTGCCAAAATTTTATGTATTTATCATTCAGTTAAATAACAGAACTGTTACTGGCAATGAAACCTATTAATAAACCTAATTAGCACAATAGATTGTAAAGCTAATGATAATAGTTTTAAGCCAAATTACGTACACTCTACCTAGAATTTAATTTCAAATGCATGCTGAATCAGGAAGCATGTTCAACTTTTCACTGTGTATAAGCCTTACATGTATATGCTCTAATAATTAAACAGGGAAGATGTTACAGTTACATTGCACGTGTGGAATTTAATGGCACAAAGGAGACTGCATGGACCACCTTGAGCAATTGTTTTTAATTTGTCCGCCTTCACTTTAAGGTGTGAGTGCTTTCCTTTTTATGCAAGCAACATAGCTAGCTGCTTGATGGTACAAAGCTGGAGGCATTCTCGGGAGAAACCCTAGAAAAGCCGGACATCTTGTGGGTATCTCCTGCAGGGCAGTCCCCCCAGTGCCACCGTGGCATTCACGGTGCCACATGGGCCAGTGAGGATCACCCAAGCGTTGCTTTTGGCTTTACTTGGGCATGGTTATTAGATCCTCCAAAGGCCAGGCTGGTATGAGGCCACCTTTAACTTAAGGTGGCTGAAAATGAAATGCTGTCCTTGCTGTGAAAGGATGCCCTTGCTGTGAAAGGATATCCTGGCTTTTAGGCATAGCTTTTGATCGCTGAGTTGTTCACGTGTATGCCAAAGATACAGCAGCTTTTGTAGCTGTTGTAGCCTGTATCAGGAATAGTGTTGTCAGCAGGAGCAGGGAGGTGCTCATTCCCCTGTACTCGACTTTGGTGAGGCTGCACCTCGAGTACTGTGTCCAGTTTTGGGCCCCTCTCTGCAAGGACACTGAGGTGCTGGAGAGGGTACAGAGAGGGGCTACCAAGCTAGTAAAGGATTTGGAGCACGTCTCGTACGAGGAACGGCTGAGGGATCTGGGGCCGTTTAGCCTGGAGAAGAGGAGGCTGAGGGGAGACCTTATTGCTCTCTACAACTGCCTGAAATGAAGTTGTAGCGAGGCGGGGATCGGTCTGTTCTCCCTAGTAACAAGTGATAGAACAAGGGGAAATGGCCTTAAGCTGCACCAGGGGAGGTTCAGGCTGGATATTACGAAGAATTTCT